AAAAATAATATATATTGGCAAATAACATCAAAGAAACTCTATGGCTGATAAATACTGAACTTGTTTTGCATCTGCTGCACCTGGTCTTATGCTTGCAAAGCCTACCATTGTATGCAAAACAAATATAGTGCAATACTGCTTAGCAAACTAGCAGCCTAAAGAAATACTGTTTGGCTCTCATTCCTACCTCCAATTAACTGTACTTTACAAGCCTTTCTTTCTAGGGAAAAAACACTTTCTGATGTCCCAAAAATTCCCTTTAGCTATTTCTTTTGGGAAATAATTTTTTCATTCCCCACTTCCAGTAGCTCAACTTCAATTCTGCATATTAGAATTAGAGATTTCATTTTTGGATCATTCTAAAACTAGATAGGAACAGGGAAGAAGCAATATGTCCAAAGACCCTTTCTGTTTCACATCCATAAGGGTTGCTCTTTCCTTTTTCATATCACAAAAATCCAGAATACCTTCTTCACTTTATAAGTTGGGCCTGCATGGCTTCTAAACAAATGTTAATTGTTGTATGGATTAATTATCTCATGCAATTATATTCTCTTTATTATCAATAATATCCAAGGCAGACATGCTTACACTATGTTCTGTGTGATTCACTCTGATCAAGTAATTAAAACTGTGTGGTGTACAGAAATCAAAACTAAAACAAAATATACAAGCAAAGCTCATACTGTAGTTTTTCCAAATTTCCTGTTCATTTTAGAGGGTAGATGCTAAAGAGCACTAAAAGCAACTCTAAACACACAGTGTATTAGTGAGTGACACACTTCATGCATGTTTGCATTGACACACTCTTTCTCCTACCATCCACTGATGGATTTGTCCCCATTTTCTATCTGAAGAATGGCGAGAATGCTACACAACAGAGAAAGAAAGAGGAATAACGGAAAAAAAACAATTAAATATTCTGAAAAAAACAAGGCTTAAGACAATGTTAAAGTAAAGGAGTAAAAGTAGTGCAGTAAAGACTGCAAGAAAATAAAACATGATTACCAAATGTGATTTAAGATCACAAAGAAGTATCACAATTTGGCTGTTTTTCACCAATATATTATGTAAAAGAAAATATAAAACATCATGACATTTGCTAAACAGACGATCTCCAAAATATAGATGCTAAACCAGTTGATTTCCAGTCACCTGGAAAATGTCATCTTTTCACAACTTGAAAGAAGCCAGTGATTATAAAAAGAAATTGAACATTTTTAAGTTACACAGAATGCTAGTATTTTTCATCTACTATCAATCATATATTCCAGACAAACTGATATTATGCCAATGTTAAAGTTTATCATACAGGAAACATCCCTCAGGATACAGGTTTTCTATTTCAAAATACTAATGTGTCAGTTTCCTTAAAATAATACACATTACATTCCCAAGCAGGATAATCATTTACACTTTCTTCACTTCAGTACAACTATTTTTTAGAGAAGACTATAAAAATGATCACTATAACTTAGACAACCACTCGTTTATTACTAAGGCATTGAAGTGGGACATGTATATATCTTACTTATCCAGCATCAAAGTATCACCACTCAAGCACATTGTGAGAGGTGTTGATGGGGTCTGTTAATTTAGCCTCAAACAAAAGTTACACTAAGATGCCATAAAGCTGACTTGCTTTAGCAGCCCCAGTGGCTTAATGCTACATAATAAAAGACAGGAACGACACCCACAAACAGGACAAAGCAGACCAATGTCTGCTGCATATCAAAGGACAGAACCTAGAGCAAGACAGCGTAGGACAAGAGTAGTTACATATCAAAGAACAGGACAAGCACTCAGATTGTGAAACAAACTTTCCTCCGACTGTATATAAGAACTGGGAAACCCTTGCAGTTTGTCTGTTCTGCGGGGCAGACCCAGCGCGCGCTGTCGGACTTATTGAACTCAATAAAACTGAATCTACACAAGACTGTGTCCTGCTCCTCTGATGAAGAATTACCCACAACAGGCATTTTTTAAAGTGAAATATATAATCAAAAAGTTTTCTAAGATACACGGAAGCAATACCTTTTGATTTAAAGGTACTGCATACCAGGCCTATTTATTCAGATCAATTTCACGTCCAATAATTCCAATACTGTATGCGAGTATAAAGTTTGTGGTGTATATACAATATACTGTAAGTAAAGGAGAATAGAAATTAGTACTTGTAGTTGAACCCACACTTTGACAAAGCTGTCTTAAAGATCTGCACCTTGACACAGTAAACCAACCACAAAACTCTCTTATCAACATCCCCAAAATTTTATTTAAACGAGCAATAACAGTTTTTCTTGTTAATACACAACCTTTTAGATTGCAATCAACAGTCATAAGCCATCTACATTCTATATCCAAATATTTTTCTGAAGTAAGCTAACTTTAATAACTTTATAAGATGCCTGTATCACTCACTTTGTGGTACCTGCTTAATGAAACATAAAAGATAAAATTACATATAATTCATGTGGAGTATGTTGAGATTTACCTGTTTTAACCTGCAAATACATACATTCACCAAACATAGTAATGTAAAAGGCAATTGTATGAATGGATTTCTCCAAGATGGGAACAATCAATTTATTACCACTGTCAAAAGTCATTTTTTTAAACTCTGGACCACCATCACTACAAAGACAAAAACAGACTAACCACAACACCTACATTAAGAGTTTTCTCTTAAATTTTAATTTAGAAACTACAAAATCTGCAATATAAAAACTGACATACTCTTCCCTCATTAAATGAGTTCTTTACTTAAAAGAACTCACAAAATGAGTGATACATTCAAATACCTATTTTTGTTATACAAGTTAACTTCTGCCACTAATATGAGCTCCAAGTGTGTAGTTCATTCTTCCACTTATTTTTTCTCTCCTCCCAGCTGTTTTATTGACTATCGTAACAGAAATTGTACTATAATTGTTATTGTATTATATTTGTTATGGTGTATTCTGAATGCATAATTTGTAAAAAATAATACTGATTCAAGAATTGTAACATTTTATACAAAGAAATGTTTCATTATAATAATGGACACTATGAATGCACAGTATCGTATATGTATACTGTAAGTACATAAACTCAATTGGTTTACAGTACCTTATAGCCAGTTACGAGCACTTGAAACAAATCAGAGATCTTTACAATGTGAATTAAGTCCTCGCTTTTGTGATTTTTCACCTATGAACACACATTTTGGAAAGAATTATGCACATATAGCAAAGAATGAGTGTATTTACCTTTAACAAAAGCACTAAATACATCATGCCAAAACTTGCTAGGTTTTTGTCTGCTATGAAATATGACAGCTGATAGCAGACAATGCTCACAGGAGCTATGGGGATCACAGAAAGTCAGGAAAGCAGTACTGAGTTCTGCAGTACTAAGATAATTTCTAAGACTCCATAGTTAACATCAGAGATGATTAAACTTAGGAGTCTAAAAGACGCTCGATTCCTTCAGGCAGACATATTTTATCTTCTCTTTAAAATGTTCATAGAAATTTACAATACACATAGCTGCAATATACTAAATAAATAAAAAAACAATAGGTGGCATATCTACAAATCTGACAAGCAAAAGAATGTCCTCCATTAAAATTCTTTAAATGTGTAATGTCCAACCACATAGCTCCACATTTTGACACTGTACCCTGTAACCTACTTTACTCTGTCAAAGGTTTTACAAAATGGCAAGGAGCTGGCATTGAAATGAAATGTCTCTGGCACTCAACATGATGTAAGCTGTAGATTAAGAAACATACTTTCACAGAATCCTAAAAATGGGACAATTATTTGAAAAGAGCACTTTCAAAAGTGCCCGTTACCAAGGAGGTTTAAGAATTAAGGTCATTCTGATGTGTACAGTAGCATTCTTTAGCTAAATCCTTGAAGTGCTTAAAACAGATCTAGGTTTTACTTTTGATGCACATGACTGATAAAACCCAAGAGCACCTGCAGTACTGGACACAAAACATCACTGAAACTACAAGTAAGATGGCTGGGAAACAGGAAGTTACATAAAGGAACACTTATATCCACTGTAAATAGGAAACAGCCATCTGAACTAGACTCATGACCTTGTAGCAATTACATAAACAAAGACAGACCTACATAGTGTTTTGTAAAAACTATGATCAAATAAAAAATACACCTATTAGATTCAGCTGAAGAAAGATTGAAAGCATGAAAGACAAAAAAACCTTCTCACATCAGTTTTCAAAAGATAGGATCTACTGGTTACCTAGAAAGAAATTGAACTTTTTAAGTACTGGAAACAGCTTATATTTAGACATGTTCTTAAATTAGACCAGTTTTTGTTCAGTGCCGTGGCTTAACACTGTACACATCAGAGGTTTCTCCCAAAATACCTTCTTACACGTACACTGAAAATGAGTAAGTTTCTACCTTAAATTAAACAATAACATCATATATTGATTATTAGGCATGTCAGTAACAAAACTGAGTACTTTGAAGAATCAAAGACAACACTGAAATTTCTTATCTGTTGAACTGTCAAATTTTAATCAAGAAGGTCATTATCTTAACAAGTATTTTAAATGAGTATTTTTAATGTATTATATTTCTACACTCCATAATTGCATCTTGCCTGCACTTGTAAGCCAGCCATGAATTTTAAATGCAAACAGGCTTGTCTTTAAATAAATAATAAATAATAATGTAGAATCTAGTAAGAGAGAAATCCTCAGTACTAAGTTCCTACAGCAATTGATGGCATTAAAAAGAATGCTTTACCCTTCCCTTGACAAGTTAAAAAAAGGTTACAACAATAGAATCAAATCTAGCTCAATGCCACCACAAACACTGATTGTAAAGTTCACAATCTATTTTCTTTTCATTCAGTGAGTCCATTTTTTTAAAAGTCCAATAAAAAAAATTCTCCACACTGCACATATTACTGAATATGTTCCATACATAGTTGTTTTTGCTACGTCATCTTTGATAGCATTATGCTCAAGCTTATCAAAGACCCATTTTTGTTATACTGTAAATAAAATGTTTCTTACCTGCATAGCTTTCCCTCACCCTGAAAATTTGCAACAACAAAAGAAATAATAGTGTCAACTCTATTTTCAAGGTTCCACTTAACATTTATTTCAACAAGTAACCAGTTCTTTGATAGCACTTTTATAGAAATGGATACTGTTGAACATATTCTGCGATTAACTACATTTTATCAGTCTGTATTCAAATTATGCCCTGCAGCTCAATGCGAGATGATTTCTAAAAAATAGTTTTTTTGTTCTGTAAGTGTGTATGCTGTACTGCCTCTGAATAAAGTGATGTATAAGAGGACACGGCTGAGTATAATATTGCTCATTCTTTTTTACAACAGTCCCTTGGTTACTAATATTACAGCACTCGTGAATAGAACACCATCCCCCGAGTGAAAAACATTCTCCAAAAATGAGCTTTCATAAAAATACCTCTGTGTATTACTCTGTGTGTTTTTTGGAAAACCTACAATAATAATTGATTGTTACAGTAGGTCAAAATATGTTATGTGTAAATAGTTCACTTTTGGCTAATTTACATAATGCAGGTGAAATAACATTAGTGTCAACAAAACAAAAGTGAAGTATGACAACCACGTCATCCTGTTGTAGTCTTGAAACTACCCAGTCCAAAACACTAAAACTTACAATATATTTAAGCAGTTAAATATTTTTTATAGAGAATATATATAATAGCTAGCAGCCATGGCAGCCAGCTGAAGCCAGCCATATCACTTTGCAACTCACAACTGGCAGCCCGCTGAAGCTAAACAGATGTGAGTCTGGTCAGTACTTGGATAGAAGACCTCCTTGGAAAGCTAAGGTTGTTGCTAGATGATGTGTTAGTGGGGCCAGGAGGGGGAGCTCACCTTGCTGCCTGTGTGAGTCCTACGGCAGCACATGAGGACACTATACTGTAAAAAGGTGCCATCCTTCGGATGAGACATAAAACCGATGTTCTGGTTCTCTGTGGTTATTAAAAATCCCAGAATGTTTCTCAAAAAGAGTAGGGGTGTTACCCCAGCAACCTGGCCAAATATCTCATTGGCCTTTAGCAATCATGGCCTCCTAATAATCCCCATCTATAATTTCGCTTCATCACTCTGCTCTCCTCCCCACTGATAACTGGTGTGTGGTGAGCATACAGTGTGCACTACAGCTGGCCTCCCATCATCCGGGTGGGGCTGCACATTGGTAGTGGAGGGGAGTCCCCATTACCTGTGAAGCGCTTTGAGTGGATTGTCCAGAAAAGTGCTACAGTACAGTATGTAAGTGTAAGGAATTATAATTAATTATGAATAGAATCTTTGGTAATAGAGGTTAGCTATCAAAATGTTAGCTATGGAGAATAATCATTCCAGGCATTGTTTAGGGTTCTTTCTACAATCATAATGTCAGCTGGTAGAAAATCACAAAAAGAAAATGGGGATAATGTTGAAGTACGACAGCTGCACATTATTGAAATTAAAACAGTTCAAACTAATTTTATGGTACAATAAAATGTGATAAACCCGTATATTCTAAAATAATAATTGTAGACTACTTTGTTTTAACCTGATATTAGTAAAATGAAGATTCCTAAATAAAATGTTAAATTATATTCACATACCAAATAACTGAAAAAAATTAAATGAATAGCAATAAAAGTAAGCCTATTCATATAAGACCAAAGAAATATTAAGCTATCACATAATTCATTGTTAAAATGAAGAACATAAGTAATGAAAATTGTTTCTAACAAGATTCTACTCTGCTATGCTACACCTAGGGCACTGTGCAAGTGTCAACGACTGCATCCTTACATAGGGAACATATTGAACTTTGATCACCTCAATCAGTGAGCTAATGTCAAGCAAAGTGACAGCAGCCATGGCTCCTTAAGAAATTGAAAATAAAAAAAAATAGTTCACAACAGAGCCCACTCTGAATTTATGTTCCACTTCACGCTCATTCGCTCACAAGACAGGAGTGTTTAGAACTACAATACAAACTTTGAACAATTCTAGGTCATACATTGACATGCCATTAACCTTATAAGGTTAAATCTAAATTTGATACATTTCAGTTGAATCAAATGAGATGCTACTGAGAGGAACATTTTATAGCACCCAGTTTCTTTAAAAATGTAGAATTAAAACTAATTTCAAAGTTTGAATATTTTCCATTTTGGTCTGAAATGGGAGGGTCCCTAGTTTTGTTTTTTTGTTTTCTAAGTGCAGGACTGCATTGACTTTTATTTTGTTGACAACATTTGTCTGAAAGAAAAAAAAGACTCAATATTTTTATGACCCATGGGCTAAAGTGACTAACTGTGCATTTCGTAAACTGCATTCTCTATTTTTCAATTTAACGGAAACTCCTTGAGCAGAGGATTTCAGATAAATAGAAAACAAGGTAATACAAATTCTAAAATCTAGTAATTGGTCGGGCTAGTATTAACAGGTATTACTTAAATTATTACTTTCATAAAATGTTTAAGAGAAAAAGTTAGATTAAAAGCATTTTCAGTCTCTTAAAATACTCTGTGCTACTATATTGTCTACTATTAGATCAACTGAAGGTCAGCAAATAATCAGTAAAATTACCTAATAATGCATAGTGAACTTACAGTACCAAAACAGACGGAAACATTAGACTTTCTTAATGTTATACTGGTACTTACTTTCACCCTTAAAGCTGCTGACGCTTAAAAACTTTTAGGTGTGTTCAAAGTTAGGTAAGCAGATATCTCAACAGAGAAACATTAATGAGAGGACACAAGTAGAAGCTAAGCAGAAGTGCATATTAAACTGGGAAAGGGAAAACATTCTGCACACAGGGTGGTGGTAGTCTCAAACAAGACAATATTAATAAAGTTGATAGTGTGATAGCCTTTTAAGACGCATCTTGACAAAATCCTCAGACCACTTATCAATCAGCAACAAAGCCAGCTAGATGGGCCTCTATTTATTTATAACCTTTCTTGTGATCTTAAAGAAAAGATCAAAGAAAGAATATAAACTTTCTACAAAAACACGAATATTTCAATCAGAGAAACACAGTCATACTTTTTCAGCTGTTTCTAATATCACAAATCCTTCGCACTGGCTTAGATACAGCCATACACCATAATGCATTACTTAAACTTATGTATCATTTAAATATTTAAAAAATACAGAAGACAAAAATCCAAGTGTTTAATAAAACGATACATAATTAATACATTTTCAGATGCTATGTGGATATATAAAATTAACAGTTTTTAAAATGCCTGCCAAACTTCCTATCACAGGTAAAGGCTGTACAGGACCTCTGAAATTCAAATTTCACAGGACCCAGAAAATCACAATGCTTCCTGCACAGTCCAAGGACAGGGAACCCATACACTCCAGTGACAAAGAAAGGCCACCTCCTGCATCTGGAGTCAGTTGTGTACATTCTCTTGAAAGGTCAGTGGCTTTAATATAGATACGCAGACACTGTTGCAAGGATGCCCTTAGAAACAAAATAAGATCCTATCGTAGTCTTATAAAAAGCTTGAACATTAATTTTGAAATCTGCTTACCTTTCAGTTCCTCTCAGGAACACAAAAACACATGCAAACCACAGCATGAAAGGCAGTGCTATTTAAAGTGACAGTAGATTACCTCTTTCTGCTGCCGCTCCAGTTCTCTCATTCGGATGTCTCTTGCTTCAGCTCGTGCTGCCCGCTTCGCAGCGAGCCGTGCCTCAGCCTTGACAGAAGAGAAATAAAAAGCAGCAGCAAATTAGCACACTTGGGTTCAATCAACTGATATTCTAAAATCTTGTAATCATTATTGTATATACAGCAGATGCACTTCCTCTATTGTTTTGTAATCAGGAATTGGCAAATAAACAGCTTATTTTTATTCTGTACTAAGAGACGTTTACTGCGCACTCCAGAAAACCTCAAAGCACATGTGAAATATTAACGAATCATAAAAATAGATCTTTACATGTAATCTGGATTTTGATTTAATCTCATAAATATGTCTGACATTGGAAGAAATGGTTTCATTGCAAATATCTGCCATGAAGAAACTTTCTGTTCATGAGCAACAGGTTATGAACAAGAATTGTGGATCAGACCTAAACTTTACACGATCATACCTTCCTCCCAAAATGCCACAGGGACGTAGTGATGGGCTTTTTAAAATTGGGTTACCATTTGTGTGATTCCACTATATTCGGATTACCCTACCTCACAAAACCTGGAATTTCCAGTCCAGTTTTTTTAGCCTAGCCCTTTGCATCCTTTTGTGCCCACCATTGGTTGAGGAACAACCCAAAATTCAGTTAAATTTATTACGTAAGTCTTCAGAATTCTGCTTACACAAATAGCAGAATTAAACAGAGGTTTTATTTTTAACCAGGAATTATCTTCTGTAGGTTATGAACAAAAGGTCACTCCAGCCAAGTAATTACACTGTTATCACTTCTCCCAGTGACAATTACATTTACAAAATCTAATTAACCTCAGAGGAGGCAAGGTTAAAAATTGCTTCATTTGGAATTATCCAGATTATATCTTTATCAGACACCAAAGTGGGGCACGACCTTTCATCATTCTTGGTTGTATATGCTTTAAGGTCAATAGAGTCAGAGGCAAGAGATCATACTGTGAGATGTTTCCAAACATCATATAGTGTACTGCATTGCAGTTTAAGTAAATGTTTTTCCAATATAATCCTGAACATGTTAAATGTTAAATGTCCTAAATGTTGTACATGTCCACTACTTTACAAAATAGAAATATTAAACTAATTACATAAAAAACTAAGGTTTTCCATCAAATTACATGTAAAATGTATAGCTTCAAATGAAAGCTACATTATGTAGTAACATCATCACTATACAAATGGATTCCACCAGTTAATCTGCACATGATTAGAGATACAACATGGATCATGAACAGGTTGTACGCCAAATCACTACCATTAACGAATAATTTCAAAATAACAGTTGTAATTTCAAAATACAACTTATACCGTACTGTACTCCACGAGTAAAATAGAAACAGTTATAAACTGCTGTTCCTGTTGTGCATAAACCTCATTTTAGGAAATCAGGCATCCAATCTGAATTCATACTAATCCTTAATAAAATGATACAAATAAAAGAAGCAACAAAATATTTAACTTCAATCACTATTTTAAAAGAACCATTTTTGAAGAAATCTAATGTACATAAAGCTTACATTACATTTTGTGGCACTGACAAATACATTCACAACATCTTATTAACATCAGATGGTAGACTATTTTTCTTCTTTTCAAAAGAGTCTACCATATTCTTTATTATATATTTCAATATATGTATCTACACTAAAACTATAATGAAACTGAAGACATGGATTTTAGAGCAAGATGTTAACAGAAGTCAAGGAAGCAAAGTAATTCACAATTAAAAATGTACAAGATATGCATTAGATGAAATCTACTTGATTCAGAACAGTGAAGCTGAACAAATGTATCAATTTGGAACACATTATTTACAAAACGCAAAAAAAAAGAATGAACAAAGAGTCAGAGGAATATCTTTGATCAATAATTCAACACTATATTTGAGTAATTATTAAGGTCTTACAGGTCAATCAAAGGGCAAACAATGTAACATTAACTCATCTAGTCATGTCAGTGCCACAGTACAATACCTAAAGTTATAGGGGTGACGTGTCATCCTTTCAAAACAAACTAGAGCAAATTTATTATTGCACAGAGAGGGAATTGTAATTAAAATCAACAACACCACAGCACCAGCCACAGTCCACAACAGTTGGTATTATTTTTCCACTCACAAATGTGCTTTAATTATGTTAATGAAAGAAGTACTGTAATATAGAACAGAAATAAAGCTTTAACGAATCACGGATGTTTTCTTAAATAAATATGGGTACCACTTTAATTTATTATAAATTCCACAATACAAATTTAGAACAATACACAAAAGATAGACTGAAGGTTACAAACTACTACATATGATGTGTTAAAATTAATAGCTTCAGATAAGAAACCAAAACAACAATACTTCTTTTTTCTTAGAGTAATTATTTGTTTCTTCAAAACCTTGACAACAAATATGGGAAAATAATATTTTAATTACTATTAATTGTAACCAGCCAAGATCTGCTGCCATGTACAACATTATTTTAGGTATTAAGCATGCATATCATGTGTCATTTCAAACAGAATGAAGAAAATGCTTCCAGTTAAAACTTGAGTCCAATCAAGAAGCACATTTACCAATATTCTGATTTCCTTGATTTATGTAATACTGTTTGTTTTGAAAGCTGAAAGAATTAGAAAACTGTATCTGCATCTCTGTATAGAAATACTTTAAGAGATGTACAGTAAATTAATTAAACTGTTTCGTTAGAATGAAAACAATGTTTAGTCAACTTTTAAGAGATACAACTCAGAAAAACGTATAGACAAATGAGCTTATTCACCACACTTAAAACTGAGTAACACTGGAAAATATCACTTTGTATAAGAATATTGTATACAGAAGCATTGTATATACACGTTTATGAATACACAACAATATATATAAGAAAAACAAACATTGTAGGTGAATGCAGATGGGCAGTTGGACTCCAAGATCAACAAAATGCTCAGACCTCTTAGGTCAACCTGTAGGAGTGATCTGATCTCAGCAGTAGTCAATCAACATTAGTTACTGAGTAATGAGGGCATCATAACAGCTAGTATAACAAAGAATGCATCATTCAACAAAACAGAATTTTAATATATAGGTTCTGTAGCAAATATTTATCAAGGAGTAAATAATTTTGGTGCAGATACACAACTTCACACAAATGGCTATCAGCAACTTTGACTGTTTAGCTGAGATTCTTTCTGATGAACCTTTTCTAACAAAACTTAAGACTTAAAACAGTCCCATTTATGACTTAAGAACTAAGGCAACATTTTTCTTGTGGTACCATTACATGAGCTGCACATGAAGAGAATGTTTCTTAAAACAGCAGGAACTGGAAAAATATATCACTTTCTAGAAATAATTAGGAATAGAACAACAGTGTGACTGGAATAGTTTGTCATGATCCCTGTTAATACTTAGTTAAAGAATCCACACTAAACTCTTCTTAAAGTATGTGTTTAAAGTAATCTGTACTAAACACTCCATTAAAACAAGCAAGGTCATTAAATCTTTATTTAATTTAAACCATCACTTAATAGGCCATTTGAATACCTGTTGCCCTAAGAAGTCAGATGAAGAAATCTCATTTTTAAAACTTTGACATGTTCAACCCTTGTAGCACTGACACCTCATTGATCTAATCCCAGTTTAAAGCTAGCCTTGGATATTGGGGTTGCCTCTATACAAGACAATCCTGATGAGAAGTGGTATCCCAGTGATGCCTCATGGGATGTAAATCTAGAAACATAGCAAGCCAAAGTTCCAGGACATTGATATTTGCATTTGAAAGAAAAGGTTTTGGCCTAATGATCACATTTATTAAGTGCACAGAAACAAGTTGCTGAAGACAAGGTACAAGTTGTAGAAGAAGCATCATGTTTGATTAAATTGTCTTATACAGGCATTTTAACTCTCATTTACTCATGAAACAAGTTATAGTCCCATAATGGTATGGCTCTGGTTTCCAGCCAGTGCCTTCCGAAGATATGAGAAAAACTCCCTGCACATGCTGAAGTAATAGCAACCTTTGAAACTGAAACTAAAAAGTTTGCCAATCTCACTTGCCTAAACAGCAAATAAACAATAAGATTGATCAAGTGTTTTGTTATCTATGAAACTACTAAATCCAAATCATTTACAAGCTGTCTAACACAATAATCAACATAAAATGTACATCTCTAATTTGTGGAAAACAAGCCCTTGTAGTTTCTTCTGTTGGAACATTAAATGACAGTGCTAATACAGTACTGGTCAGTAAAGCTGCATAATCATGAGTTACTGTTATGGGTCAAGAAAATCTTTTATGATACACCACTAATGTATATAAACATATTTATCCATTCTCTGTCTCCATTTTGCTTTAAAGTATAAAGAGACACTTAGATAATTGTGGTTTTGTAGTGGATCATGCTAGGGTCAGAACAAAGAAAAAAGAAAACTGTCCAAAGGAAGTTGCTATGGTGGACTACTTTAGATTGATGTGTAACTAAAAGCTGTCCACTGAGAACTAACATGAAAACAGCACACATGGTAGAACAGTCACTTTCAGGGCAACATGAGAATGTGAAACTAGCTTCTGGTACAAAAGGAGAGGGGTAAGAGTAAATCATTGCTTTAGTTTTAGTGTAGTTTGGCAGGATGTAATATATTTCATACTCTGTAATTAAGAACAATGATAAAATAAAATTATTTTTAAATGCAGTGACTCAAATGTGATTTGAAATGTGATGTTTTATTTAGGGAACTTTATACAAAATTACATTAATTTTTTTCTAGTGTGATCTTTGTTTCTGTGGAAAAGCCCCAGATAACTGACACAGCCAGATTACCCAATATAAACAGTTTATGAATCACTGGAAAGATATGCGGTGGAGATATAATTACTAGTATAGCTTTTAGAGATTTTCCAGCATTTTTTGAGTCAGTTTTTTCGGCACTCTACACATTATGTACCCAGATATAAACAAATACCATGTCTGTAGATATCACAACCGTATAGTCAATAAGAAACGTTTACATATATTTGTCACATTTCACATCTCCCACACTGAGG